TCAGTTAAAAATCATAAGCCAAAAGCTAATTCAAAAAAACTCTTGATCTTCTAAACGTGTGATCAAGCAGACTATTAGAGTTTTATGCACTAATAATATAAAATATGTATGATGACTTATATGTAAATTCCAATGATAAACATTAATTAATACATAGCCTGATAAGTGAAAATTAAGATGATAATTAATCTATTATTACAAGTTAAAATTCATGTATAAAGAGACTATTACCTTCTAATACGTTGTTGTGGATGCATAAAAAAAAAGAACTAACTATATACAAAAAAAAAAGAGAGACTATAGTCCATAAAGAACAAAAATTACAAATGATCACGTTTGGAACTAAACTTGCTATACATGTGAATATACAAATCGTTTTCTAGCTAGATCCTTTTTTTCTCTAAAAGTGAATAAATATTACAAATTGTTTAGATTTTTCTATTCTAAATATATAGTGAGTTAGTTATAAAATTAGTAGCGATTATCAAAGACAAAGGCTTCTCTTCTGACTGTGCTCGTTGGAGCATCAAGCCTCATTGGCCGTCGTTTCATTGAGAGTATTATTGTAATAGCTAGCTTAGGGTTAGGCTAGAAATAATTGAGAATCACTCATTTGGACTTAGATTATTTTGATAGTATATGTTACAAATTGAAAGTGTAAAACTCTTATGAGAATGTGCCTATGGCCAATGTTGCTATGCAATGTTGATGAGATTGTTTGCTTGGCGTTATCTTAGATTACTTTGTGCTTGAGGAACCATTCCTTTTGTGTGTTTTCTAAAAGTTTCACTTTTGTTAAGGTTAGTGAGACTCGAACTTCTTGATTACTTGAATTTTTTCGAGCATGATTTAGAAGTTTGCATAAATGATTACAAACTACCTATTAGTACATTACTTAAGGCGAATCAATAATGATTGTGGCTGGACTTCTCTTTTCATCTATCAATCTCGTTTATGAATGCTATGATGGTCAGGCATAGCCGAAACTCTTTCGTAGGCAGCTCTCGAGGCAGTGGCTTGAAACTAATCTCCCGCAGGGTGAGCGCAGCGCGTATTAAGACATATATACATTATTTTGAGTCAAATCGAGTTGATTATGTGACTCTTTTTTCTCTTAAAGTTATGATATATGTATTCTTTCATTACTTGACATGACATATTTAATAATAAAATCTATGTCGCACTTGATTAATTATAGAAGTGGGGTCTAGTGGATCACATAATTTAATTGTAATTAATTGTCTTAGTTAGACAGTTAGTTGTGATAAGTTAGAGGAGGTTATTAGCTAATTAAAGTCAATTAGCTTAGTCTATATGTATATATATATATAGGTGTAAATAGCTTAGTACAATTGAAATTGGTTCTTCTTACTTTAAAGTGATAAAAAATAGTTGTGTGACTTTATTGTTATATGGGTAAAATTCAATAATTATACGTGAAATTGATATTTTGAAAGACATTTTTAAGGCGAGTTTTGAAGTGGGGTGTACAAAAAATGTTTCAAGGTGCAAATAAAAAATGTAGATTTATAAGGCGTATGTTCTAGAATTTGCACGAGGCGTAAGTCTTGGCCTCTTGGGCATAAAAATGTATGCTTTCGGGCGTTAAATTTGATTTTTATTATTTAAAAAATACTCTTTCTATAAATCATGTTTTTTATTGTTAGTTAATGATGTTTATACTTTTATTTATTTTTATGATGTTTATACTTTATGTTATCATATATGCTAGTAATTTTTCTTAAAATTTGTAAAAGAAGACAACACTCACAGAAAGTGACCTTGTCATAGATAATTTTTTTAGATAATCACGCTTGATCCTTCTCCTACTTTGTAAGGTATTAACAATAATCAATGCAAATATTAATTGATGGTGAAAAATACTAGTAAATGTGCTTATCAATGATGATTTTATTTAAACATTATCACATCTATTATCAATTTTTGTGTTGTTATATTTCTCAAATAATAATTATAATATTTTTTCTATATTATCAATGATCTATTTGCAGAATTATTGAAAATATTACTTTCGCTTATTTTCTTAATAATAAAATTATAAAATTGAAGATACATCTTATATATCCAGAAAACTTACGTCTTACCCCATATTGAGTAAAACAGCTCGTCTCACGCCCCCACCTTTAAAAACACTGAATGAAATTAATCCTCTAATTTCATGTGATCCTAAAGTTGTAAACTGCAGTGGAAAGTGTATAAATGTTGCCATGTTTCCATGTCTAGAACTTTGTGGCTTGTTTGTGGTCCTATATATAGATGGTATGGTTCATCATACTTTGGGAGATGAAGTGATTGTACAATACTAGTCAAGTTTTAATTGTACAAAAATGAATAAAATGGAAAATCTTGATTGTCTACTTCTTTTCCTCGTTTTTTTCCTCTACATTTGTAAGTGTAACTTTCATACATCCTTGTTACTTTTGGAAATTTGTTAATAAAGTAGCTAAAAAAGAGAGATACTTTTTTGAAAAATCCTAGAAATATTAGGACTTGAAAATGACACACTTGAGGAATATGATGAAAATAATAATTGTGATATATATTCAACTATTTATTTTAATGTAGATATAGTTGTCACTTGTAACTTGTCACTTGTGGAGTTCCTATCACACTTGTCAGTATCGTGTATGTTTGGTAAGAAGGAAAAAAATATGTTCTTAATTAAAAGTATTTGTATATAATTTAAGATAACGTTTTGAGGATGAAAGGAGGGTCTTGGAGGGTAGGGGTGGGGTGAGAAAACTTACTTTCTCTTAGATAAGAGGGATTGCTCGTAATAAGCGTGAGAGATAAATGTATGCATTTTAATTGTAAGGATGAGTAATTAAATTTTGATATATTCTTAAAAACTAAATTTTAAGTCTGATTTAACTTCAAAAATTAGTTTATTAAGTGAGCACTCAAAGGTAGGGTATTTTACATATTTTTACAGAATTTTTATAGTGTATGAGAAAAATATATACATTTCGATTAGGATCTTACTTTAGGGTTACGATTATGCCATATATTTATTTTTCATTCCATCGAAAATTAATGTCACTGTATAGACGTATATCTGGCAAATATGAATATTCCTTTGATGTTACCATCTTTACCACAACGAGTTTGGCTATTCATCAAATTATTTAGTGGATTAATTATATTTCACTCAAGGATCATTCAACAACATATAAAAAGAAAACAATATATTCTATCAACCAATTAAAATTTGATTTAGTACATTACTTTAATAATAGAGAGGAGGTACAACACTAACCAACATACACAATAATCATTCAAAAATTGAAATTATTAATCTCTTTCATGTTATCTTTGGTTTTTTTTTTCAAACAAAAGGAAATAGTGATGATCAAGTAGTACTATCATTATCTTTATCAAATTTCTAATGTATATGGATTATGGTGAAGTTGTAAGACTACTTTATTCTTAATCGGGAAAATGCATAAGTACCCCCAGCCTATGCCCAAAATCTCTGAGACATGCCTAACCTTCACTAAGGTCCTATTACCCCCCCGAACTTCTTTTATATATAATTTTTTCCCCCTTTTTGGCCTATGTGGCACTATCTTGTGGGCCCATCGCGTGTTGACAATTTTTTCAAGGATAGTGCCACATAGGCCGAAAAGGGGTAGAAAATTAATTAAAAAATAAGTTCGGGG